TTGATAAAGGACCCTGTCAAGATTTGTAAGATGAAAAAAAGCCTGAAGAGCAATTTCTTACCAGTTTTCTGATCAAAGTTTGCAAAGCCCATCAAACCTCCAGCTGGAACTACACTGACTGCAGCTTACACACAAGAGCACAAGGAGGAGATATGTTTACAGTGCTTTTCCTTGCTCTGATAGCACAGTGCTGAAGTTTACAGGACCATTGCTAGGCTCCATCTTGCTCCTGAGTTACCAGCTTCACCTCCTCAGCCATTTGAGTGTCTCAAGGGAAACTACCTACATTATATGCTGAACATGAGGAGGGAAAAAATTAATTTAAATTAAATAGTTCAAATGAAAAGATGGCATTGTCAGTCAGCACGGCAATGTACTGTACCTCAAGCCAAAATGGGAAGAGGGCCTTGGGTTGATACAGGCAGCATAAAGTTCTTGAATCAGCTGCCAACATAAGTATCTCACTTGTGCCAACTGTTAAGCTCTTCTCAGCTGGGAGCATTCCAAGTTTCTAAACGCCAGTGAGCAAAGCAGGGTGCTGCTGCTACCTCCTGGTCAGGCCAGCTTTGATGTAAATAGGACTTTTTGTTCTTTGGCTCTATTTTAAGATCTAGATCAAGTCCTTGTCTCAGGACAGGCTATTTTTCTCTCCCCCTCTCCCCCCCATGCTAGACACATTCTAACGCTCACTGGGGTCCTGGAATGCACAGCCGACAAGCTGGAAGAGTTCAAGACATTATCAAGGCAGAGCTTGAAACACAAGGTCATCACTTCCTTTCGTGCCACACACTGACCAAACAAACCTCTTACACTCTGCAAGAAAAACAACCTCCAGGACATCAGATTCAAAAGATGTTATTCAACTTCTCTTTTTCTTTATTTAGAAGTGTTACTGCCTGTGAAAGGACTGACACTTGTGGAGCACAAAGTCCTTTCAGTTCCACATATCAGATAGTACATTTATAAACTCAATCGTTGTAACACAAACTAACCAGCTATAAACCAAATGTCAATCAAAGTGAATGTCAATGTTTTCACCAGTTTAACATACCCCAAGTTAAGTTGGAACAACTCTGTGTGTAGACGAGGCCTAACCTTGCTCAGAGCAGATCTAGGGAATGCTGCACCTGGTCTACACACAGAGTTGTTCCAACTTAACTTGGGGTATGTTAAACTGGTGAAAACATTGACATTCACTTTGATTGACATTTGGTTTATAGCTGGTTAGTTTGTGTTTAAGTGTCCACAGAGGGGTTGGCACCAAGAGATTTGAATTAAATTGTTGCAATTTAGATTTAGACAAGGTGGTTAAAATGCTCCCACGCTACACAGAAAACCAATGCAGATAGAGCTGATGGGATTCCCTTTGAGGCCACATCTAGATTTTTTTGTGTAACAAAAACACTGCTGCTCCTCCGGCTGATTTAAACTTCAATGTCAGCTCCAGAATCATGAAAAGGGAAGGCTTTAACCATCACTATGTGAAACAAGCCTATGGAGGAAGCTGATTATTAAGGAGAAAGCTACTAATTACACAGAGCTCTCTATAATTTGGAATGACAGGAAAGGAAGGGTAGAAAGAATGACACTTTAATTGGGTAAATAGCACTTACATAGCACCTTATGGTTTTCTAATCATTGTATAATCTTTGCTTAAAATTCTCACATCCTTGTGCAGTAGGGAAATAAGCACTATCCCCATTTTACAGACAGGGAAATTTGGCAAGAGGTTCAGTAACTTGCTGAAGGACAGCTGTTATTTGGCAGCTTCAGGACTGCCTGACTCCTCCAACACACATTGCCTTGGGGTGCTGGCAAAATAGATTTGTAATGCTTACATGACTGTGGGGAGGAGCTCTAGGGTTGAAGGAACTTTGGTCTGCTTGCATCATAGCAGGGTCTTTCCACCACAGTAAAATGCGATGTTAATGAAGGTTGTGATTTAATGTCAAACGGCAAGCACTTTAAGCAAATACGCAGATTTTGTCTTTGCCCTTTACTAGAGACTAGCAATTGCAGGTGGTCTGAAAGAGTAGATAATCTCCCATTTGTACTGCAAAAAGCAGTTGGGTAGCTATGACATTCCAACCTCACCTATGAATTGCATCGCTTTAGGGAGTTTACATCGCACTCTTGACATGGGTTGAGTTTTAGTTTTGGGTTTCATTATCTCTTGGTGTACACAGCAAAGGATTAAGGTACTGAATGAGGACAACTACTTGTTATGGGCTAATTGCATTAACTATATTCCCTAAACTAGGAACAAATCACAGGATTCAGGAGCACAAGGTTGTAAAAACAGCTCACATTCTAAAATTAGACTGTTAATGAAGGGTCTTTAATAGACCAAGGATTCTCTTAGAATTGAGATAAACATGTTAAAATATTCTTTAAAATAATTCCATATCCATCCACAGTACACTCATTAGCAAACTCATATAAGTGATATGATCAATACAGCTCTAACATTATTATGTGCATTAACAGAGGTACCCATTACTGCAGAACCTGGCTGAGCTTTTTATATTTTAGATAATGAGCAGAGCGCGCTCTCTCTCAAAAAACCCAAAAAACAGGGGGCCATATTCTTGGATGTTGATGTTGTTTTATTCTTGGATGTAAAAAGGAGTCTAAATTAAGCTTTCCACCGCTGCCCATAAAAGAAATCTACAAGGAAGTTTTTTACAGCAGAAACTCCTCTTGAAATCTGGCCTCCATTCTTGTCAAAGAGACTGTCTTAACAGAAGTCTTACCCAATAACAATTTGCTTGCATATGGATGCCAAGATCTTACTTTAAAATAAGCAAAAATGCAATCTAATTTTACCTCTCCCTAACATTTAATTGGGTTCCTTCCATCACTTACTAAGGGGATCAAGGCTGGGCCTTGCATGAAATGAAAGGACCAGCCTGCAGGAGCTGGTTTATGCTACTACAGGATAAAGGTTTTCAAAATTCTTCATCATTCATTGCTGGAGCTATTCAATAGTTAGATCATTCTCTTTGGTTAGATGTAGCCTAAGGTGAGAAAACTAACGGACACGTGTTCACACTTTCCTACCTGCAAACACTCTGAACCATTCTATGACTGGGCTCCAGACTTCAGGTTTCTTGTGCCACGTAAACCTTGCTTTAGAGAGAAAGAAGTGGTGCAATGCATGGTGCTAACACAGCTGGAACCTATAAGAGCAGCTCTGATTAGGGTCATCTGAATGAGTCATCTGAAGTAAAAACCCTCAACTGAGCAGCTGCCAATTTAAAACATACACCATATGCCTCCCACACACTCTTGTCAGCTTTTAAACACACAATGCCTTTTTGCTTTACTTCAGATTACAAGTATTAAATGCTCCCTTATGATTTTCACAACTAGGGTCTGACATACAATTAAGAGACTTGGATCAGCCTACCTAGGTTAACCTTCAGAAGCAGCACAGATTTTGAGGTTTATTGCAGAGAAAGGAAGAAATGGGCAGATTGCAAAAGGAACAGTTTGGGTTTTTACAGTTTCCTTCTGTAAAGAATTAATAACCCGAAAAGAGTTGAAACCTATCACCATCCACTGCTGAATGACAAACAGCTGAAATCTTCATGAAGTAGACTAGAGCCAGGAAGGGTACTGATCACAATTTCAGAGAGCAGCTACCTAAATAGGATTTTAGTTTAAATGTAGCCCATTTGGATTGCACACTGTGTAGTGAAATGAGATAATAAACCAACAGACTTCTTAATTAAGACCATCGATAATAGGACAGTAAGGCAGGCTACCTGCTTGCTTATTTTCCAATTACTTTAGTGCAATTCAATTGACACTAGAGAAAAGCTAGTGGTTTCCCCCACCCTCAAACACAGCTAAAAGACTGGAAAGAGGAGACTATCCATTCTCAGTAGCTGTCTGGCTATGAACAGGAAGAAGCTATCTAGACTCTGTAATGCTTACACATGATAAACATCCCAAAACCAACAGGCTATAATGTGTTATAGGATTAAGCGTCCCCTCCTTTTAATATGTATTTTTATGTATGCTTTTGGGAATGTATTTTATTTTTGTATGTGCTATGCTACTATAGTTCGTGAAAAGCTTGTTGTTTTCTTTTGTGTGTGTCAAGTATTTGCTCTACAGTATCAAAAAGTTCCAGTACAAAAACCAGTCAACCTCTGCTTCAGCTGTTCAGTGCTGTCATAGCAGTACAATAGACGTGAGCAGCCAAAGGCAGAATTACAAAGCTATGCATGACCACGGACTGAAGACAATGTGAACTACAGCACCATCAGAAAGCGTAATAAAGACATATGTTTTAGCAAGAAGCAAGTAAACCAAGAGTGAAACACTAGGACAAGGGTAATTCTCTTGCAAAATCTAAGTGCCACAGAAATAGTTTTGTTTGGTTTTCTGGTTTCAGTGAAAGATTTACTTTTAACAAGAGATGCCCACTGTGGACAATTTCTACTATGGACAATTCAGTATCGTTTTAGTAGGTGATAGCACGAGATTCTATTTTCAATAGGTAAAGCTAAATTTTAAGTGTAAAATATAAAGAAAGCCAAGACAGCCATTCTAATTTAAAATTTCTACTAGTGATGCAATGGAGAAGTTTAAAAAAAAAAAAGTTAACTGATAAAGCCACTTCACATCTTGTCTGTGGCACTGTGTCACTGCTGTTGTAGGCCTTTTAGTAACTTACCTAAATAAAACTGAACTCTATTTAGAAGTAAATGTTCACATACAGGTTAAGTGATTATGGGGCTTTGTATGGATTGGGGAAATTACTATAATTCTAACATTGCACTATTCTTTGCACATAAAAACCGATTAGTTACAAAGCATCCTATAAGTCAGGGATGCTGGAGATACAAATTCCACCTTCAAAATTAGTGCAATGCCTTACACCAAACTGGTTAATTGGCTGAAGAGAGAGGAAAAATTGCTCCCTTCAAATACATACAAGTGACTCCCACAAGCTTCCACAAGAATTCAAGCATGAGCCCAGACAAAAGAATAAAGCCTTTCACAAAGGAATAAAAAACTCTTGTATTTACATCTATAGCTAAGGATCAAGACTACTTAGTTTTGAACCCAATTTTGACATTTTAGTCACTAGCAATAGGTATATTGTATGAAATGCTTTATACTCAAGATTCTAGCTTTAGCAAGAAAAGACTAAGCCACTCTTACAAATCTCCAGCATGGTTCAGCTCAATCTTGTAATTGATAAATAGGAAGCATCACAAAAATGAGCAGAACTGTGATGCAGAGAATTATTAAAAGGTTTCAGAGTCGGTTGTTTTTATAAAGTCCACTTTGTTAATACGAAAATTGCAGGGGACGTTCTTCCTTCAGAGAACAATGGATCTCAGGGCACATTCAAGAATTGAAACCCATATCAGTTTAAGTAAAATCTTCACTGCATGCCAAACCATTGTTCTTGATCTGCCCACTGTGCTGCTTCACTATCACTGCCCTCCAAATCCCCTTCTTCTCCACTTCCCTCCATGTCATCCACATCCTCTTCCTGGGTTGCATCTGTTGGACTCTCCTCTTTTTCCATTTTCTGCATTCCTTCTAAAGACTTCTGATCATTGGGATCCAAACTGGGGGAGAAAAAAGGGTTACTCAAACTTAAGGTAGTAGTAAACATTAGAAATATGTCTAATCAAAACAACTCCATCTTGCTTCCCCCCACTTCCTGTTTACTGCTACCGATATTTGAACTCAAAGATGTTGCAGCTTGACCTCAGACTGACGTTATAACCATTTGACAAAAGATGGAAGAGCACGATTAACACCAATTACATCATCTATAAACAAATTCCTAACCGTTGAGAATGCACTTGTCTGAACACTATGAACCTCCCAATGAAGCTTACACAATTCTTCTAGGCAATACTAACTAAAGCAACAGAAGATAGATTAATGCAATTTAAGTGACTAGCACTAAAAACCACTGTTCCCGCACCTCCATCCAGGCAAAAATAGCCAACCTACCTGACCTTACAGTTTATAAGGTTTGTGGGTATAACAAGGTGTTGTATTCAAGATAGGTATTTAACTTTTAATAATGCAGAGAACGTAAGATTTTTTATTAGGAAATATGGCATCTTATTCTGAAACATGCTAAATGTTACCCAAGTTTGAAATAATTCTTTTCTATTTGAGTTTGAGGGACCCGTTTTATTGTAAGAAGCAACGTTGATTCCCTTGAACATCAAAACCTTTCCGTTTGAATTTAGTTAATCCCTAAGGCTTGGTCTACACTTACCCCCCAATTCGAACTAAGGTACGCAACTTCAGCTACGTGAATAATGTAGCTGAAGTTCGAAGTACCTTAGTTCGAACTTACCTCGGTCCACACGCGGCAGGCAGGCTCCCCCGTCGACGCCGCAGTACTCCTCTCGTATAGCTGGAGTACCGCAGTCGACGGCGATCACTTCCTGGTTCGACTTATCGCGTCCAGACAAGACGCGATAAGTCGAACCCAGAACTTCGATTCCCAGCCGCCGAACTAGCGGCTGGGTGTAGACATACCCTTACATTTATACAGCACCTTCCAGCCTAAAAGGTGGAGCCCAAGGTGCTTGACAGAGTATAGAACAGTTTAAGAAATTATAAACAAATCCATGCCTTAATCCTTCTTATTGGTCTAGCAATTGACTGCCTGGTAAGATACTTAACATTAACACAAGTTTACAATTGTAAATGTTTGTCCTTGAGACTTTGAATTGGGAATTGCAGTACATAAGACACAAAGACATGGTCTACGCTAGAAAAAAATCAAGCTGTCTTAACTACATCCCTTAGGGGGTGTGAAAAATCCACATCCCTGAGCAGCATAGTTAAGCTGACCTAACCCCCTGTGTAGACAGTGCTAGGCTGACAGAAGAACCCCTCACGTCAGCATAGGTAGTGTCTACACTGAAGTGCTACAACAGTACAGCTAAAGCAGTACAGTTGTACCACTGTAGCACTTCAAAATGTAGACAATCCCAAATTCACTGATAGTGTGTGCGCGCTGGGGGAACACCCAACCAACCAAACCCCCTGCCCCCCACAGAAGTGACTGAAGATGTACTAAGCCATCTTACAGCAGTCATGCAATTCTTAGTTTCTAAGAAGCATACAGAAAACCCAAGGGTCTACAAGTTTTACCTTAGGGCAATACTGTATTGGTCCATGGCTTCTTGATATTCACTGACTGCTACAAGAAAGTCACCCAGTATTCGATGCAGAACACAGTCACTCTGATTGGCCAGTGCATTCCTCAACAAAGCTATTCCATCTTCATATTTCTGTTCTCTACCTGTTGACATGCAGAGCTACAGTTCTATTAATGGTTTAGATATATATTCAAGTTATTTTGTGGATGATCTAAAACACTATCACAATCCTCATCTTTATTCCTAAAACCATCTGCAGTTGGTGATAATTAAATCTTCTGAAAACACAGTTCTTGCTCTAAGTGTTATATTTTAAATCAAATCAATGCATACATGATTCTCTCTTAAATAATCAGTAAGTTATAATTTCTTCCATCTGAAGCATTACTATAGTGCCAATCACTGTAATATCTAAGCAATTCATATCTTAAGGCAGGCATCCTGTAATTTTTCTTTTACACAGAACTGATCAGTCTTTGGCTGTAACATTTGTATAGTGTTTTTCAGATTAGTGACTTTGTGGAACACGCACTTTCATGTAAGATATGATTCAAATAAACTGGACAAGGAAGAGACATCTCAAAGAAAAGAAACTTACTAAGAAGCTCCGCTTTTTTTACCACCGCTTTAATGTAATCCGGTCTCTGTGTAAGTGCCTTATCTAATAAGGTTTTTGCTTTCTCTTGTGTGACTGGATCTTCAAGACAGACTGTTGCTAACAGAGTAAGCGTCTGTGCATTTGCTCCCAGGGTTTTGTACACATTGTTAGCCATAACCATAGCTTCACGGATACTGTTGGATGCCAGATAACAATCAATGAGGCCTGAAGACCAAAAAGAAGAGGTTACTGTGCATTAATATTTACACACTGGCATACTAACAATCTGTTTACAGAGACTGTATCAGAGTTTAATAAGCATGCTTCTCAGTACATCAAATTCAGCTATTTTTGTTTAACAAGCATGCATTTAATGTCTAATATTTCCCCCTCTTCTCCCTATTTCCAGCTCTATTTAGTGAGTTTTTCCAATATCACTAATTAACCTATTAGGTAGTAAGCAATGTTACTTCACCTGCAGGGAACTCTGGGAGGCAATTTATACTCTTCCTATACCATGACACCATTGTACACCAGAGCCCTATCAAAATTGTATACAAGAGTCATTGGACTTTACTTGCCTTCATAACAGTCAAGCCTGCAAGGTGCAAGGCGTATTGCTTCTCGGAAATGTATAATTGCCTCTTGTACTCGTCCCATATTTCTAAGAGCAGCCCCTTTCAGCAGCAAAGCTTGAACACTATTACTATTCAGCTGAATAGCTTTGGCTCCTAAATACAAGGCACGGGAGTATCGCTTACTGTAGAAACTGTGACACCTATAAAAAGAAGAGCAATGGTCATTCATGGAAAGCTGAAAAGAAAAGCAACTGATTTATAGCATGCACAGTTACTTTAAAAGATATTAACAAAATATGATGCTTATTAGCCTTTAACAAAACTGGTGATTCAGGTACTTAGTTACAGCAACATTAGTTATCTGACAGACCCACCAACTCCAAGGTGTTTAAATACAGCCAGAAAAGGATTGAAAGATTTAATATGTATCTAGTAAGATATTTTAAAGTTAGACCAAGAACTAAATGTTTAAGTAGAACAGCAGACTCACAGGATAAGTACAGCTTCCAAACTAATGAAACCTGAACACATTGCCACAAACACATTCAAGCTCCTAAGACAGGTTAGCTAAGGAGCCAGTGGATCCGAGGAAGTGAAAAGTAAATGGAAGTTACCCTGACACCACCCACGGTTCTGCATGCTGATCAGAAATATTGAAAAGACGGCAGCCCAAGTTCTCCACATCCTCCAGTCGACCGTCACGTGCCAATAAGTAGCCATATACGTCCATTCCTAAAAATGAAATACTTTGGGATCAGTTGTAGTATGGCTGAACTCCTAATTATAACCCTTAAAAGCTTTATGAAGATTTAAGGTCACAATGGAACTTGACCATAAGGGCCAGTGATTTCACAGCACTTGTATGAGCTAGGAGTAGCGAGGATACATGCTTTGGGACTAAGTCTGAGCACCAGACTCTGCACTTTCACCTTAAAGGTGGAGGAGGAATCAAGAAAAAACAGGTATAAAATGAGAGCATGAAGAATTCTAGACAGTTTACAACAAAGACATAGTTCATTCAGAAGGAAAAACAGAACACACAAGTTTCTTAAACTAAATTTGTTAGTACTATGTTCCTCTTTGGATAGCCTGGTGTACAGCTATACTAACTTCTTGAAGTACTGTAATTTTTAATGAGGTGTAAGAAACACCCACTTTATGCTATGACTGCCTCCAACTGCTTCTGGGTATGGACAGAAACTATGCACCTGCTATGCAGATAAATAATTATGTAGCTGTTCTAAGCCTTTAGTGGAATGTGAACTAGATGCACCTGCTGTGCTAGTGTCATTCAAGGGGTTAGCATGCTAGGGCAACTTTCAGAATTTACAATTACTTACCTTTTATCAGATAAGGATCCAGCATTTGTGCCTGCTCAAATTTCAGAATTGAGTTTTTATTATCTCCAGCTCGGAAGTACAGGTCTGCTAAGCTACCCAATAGATCCACATTATCCCTCAGTAAAGACTTTTTTTCTAATGAGCTTTAAGAGAAAAGAAATGCCATTTAAACTAGCACCTGGTTATGTACTGTTTGAATGCTAAAACTCTTTGGAACCTGTAAATTCTCTCAAATACACTTGTAAAATTATGATTTTAAGTGTCATTCATTTAAAGGCCTACAGTTACCACAAGACCTGGTATCATCTATATTGTTACCTGACGCTCACTCTTTACTGAGTGACCACACACCCACCATTTGAACACTCGTCCAAAAAAAAACTATTTGATGACATACATACAACTTACATTGTTCCTTGAAGGCTGCCAAACTGGGAGAGAGAGAGTTCTTAAGCAAGGACCCTCTACTGAAGATATCTTGCTGCCAGCCCCAGAGTTCGATGCCAGAAATAAATAGCTGCACCCTAGATAATCTTCCCTGGCATGATAAACTAGGCATGGGGGTGTCTCAAATACTGTTGTCTTAGACCCATGCAGGGCTTTACAGATAATCACCAGCAACTTGAGGTGCCCCCACAAACAAGGTAGCCAGTTCACACCATTAACCCCAGGCAATGATCGTTTAGGACAGGGGTTCTCAAACTGGGGGTCGGGACCCCTCAGGGGGTCGTGAGGTTATTACATGGGGGGGTCATGAGCTGTCAGCCTCCACCCCAAAGCCCGCTTTGCCTCCAGCATTTATAATGGTGTTAAATATATAAAAATGGGTTTTTAATTTATAAGGGGGGGGGTGTCGCACTCAGAGGCTTGCTATGTGAAAGGGGTCACCAGTACAAAAGTTTGAGAACCACTGGTTTAGGAGACAGACACTAGGAATCTACACCAGCTGGACTTCAAACGCAGCTTCAAGTAAAGCACAATGCAATAGACATCCAAAAGGAAATAGGTTTTTTAAACTTCATGCCCTAGTTAGGTTTACCTGCATTGACTGAAACTTGTAGCTTTTATAAGAGCATCTGAGCAAAGAAATTGCACCAACAGCACAGCATCATTAAGGGGTTCTCAGTTTCCATTCATGTTCTAGAAATGTATAGTTAAGTCACAAAAAGTTTAAACTAGTTTCCAGCGGTCAGTTTTCAAAAGTAGCTGCACTGGTGTTTTCAGTTACAAAAAGATGGTAATTTAAGAAGCTTCTTTTCAATTCTGTAAATTAAAACAACTTTGTATTTTAAAATTATGCACTCTGGTCTAAGGAGATACAAGGTACCTTCTCTTCCCCATGAAAGAGTGTATAGCCTTTGCAGAACTATTTACTTTAATTGGAGCTTTCTTCACAGAATACCCAGATCTTGCAAAGATCTCAGATATTATTTACTCTATATGCTCTGAAGCTTAGGTACAATCCAAGACCAGTAAGGAAAAATGTCCTGATTTTTTATAGTTTGTCAGAACCTTAACATTATCACAATAAAAATGGATAGCAAGTCTAAAAATATTGTTACGCTTTCTTTTTTAAAGTTTTCCAAATCAAGACTTTTCCCCAATCAGGAAAAAAACTTTAATATTATGTTCAGCATCTGACAAAATCCAAGCAATGTTTACAGATCAACTGCAAGGTCCTCAACAGTACAAAATAGGCATCATGCTGTGCCAAACAGCATGTTTAAATCTGTCACAACACTATGTGAAGTAGTGACTCAAGAACAGTAATTTAATTCACCTTGATTCTTACCAGATGGTGTTGATTGCTCTAGTATTATCTCCAGTGTGCACAAATGCATATGCTTTGATCCACACTGAAAGCCAGTCCAAGTTAGGGATGCTTTGAATAACATTCATCGTCATGGAAGCCACTTCTGCCCCTTTTACTGAAAGTGACAGCAAACCTATTCAGAAAAACACACTAGTCAAATCCAAGTATCCAGAACAGTTTGACATACAAATTAGTTAAAATGTCTAAAGATGGAGAATCCCATGCCTTTGAATTTATACAGGCAGTTAGCTACAATGCTCCTGTACAACTTGTAGATTGCATGCAGCCTGTACTGCATGCAAATGAGCTAGTTTACGAATATGTTTTACACATCTCATATTTTAGTGATAATGTTGCTTGATGTAATTTTTAATATTAGATACTTGGTGGGGAAAAAGTCTCTACCTAGTATGGCATCGAGTGCTAATGGACACTGTCTCAGCACTTCTTTGTAACTGGTAACAGATGAGCGTTCTTGACCTGCCTTCTTGTACAAATTTGCCAACATCATGTTAATCTGTAATCAAAAAAATCTGATTGTGAGAACAATCCAATCAAGAGTTATGAAAAGCAGAGTTCCTCACCAAAAAGTCATGTTTTCATTATCAAGCATAGCCCCATCTTCCCAACTCTGGACAGAGAATAGAGACTCCCACTGGTAGAGTGACAAAACAAGGTGACAACACTTAATTTCCTATTAACTGTATTTTCACTGTTTTCAAGAACTGTCCATTGTTTTACTACCTCTGGTGGTAGCACTGGTGGGAGTATTAGCATAGTAAAAATGCCTTAGCTCTGACCACTTTTGTCTAGAGCAGCAATTACTCTTTCCCAGAATTGTAAAAACTACTTCTACTACCTTCCAAAAACCTCAGAGGCGTCAGCTGCGGAGAGTAGAATTTTGCATAGCTAATAGAGACTTCAATCCTAAATAGGTTAAGTATACATGCTCTCAATAGCTTATCAGTACATGTCAAGGTGTCTATTGTTCCTCATGCATAGAGAAGACTTTGTAATTCCCACTAGCATTAATAAAATTACTCAGGTAATTGTCACAGGAATTACCTGTTAAAGACATCCAAAAACATTTAGCTCCTATTAGTTTGGTGAACTCTTTCAAACAAAGAAATTCCATATAGAGACTACCTGGTTTTAAAGAAGATATGCTTACTAAACTCAGATAATTTAGAAGTGTTTAGCCACTGTTTCCAAATAACTCATTTAAATATTATAAGCACAAATGTCAAGGTTTAGTCTCTTTACCTCTATATGCTACATCTTAATTCTTGAGCAAATATGACTATACAACTCCAAAAACATCTAAACTACTGTTTGCCACAAATCAATTCGAGAACCTACCTTGGGGGTTCTCTGTCTTGAAGGAATTCCATCTAGTATAGCAATAGCATCTTTATCTTGCTTCAACATTGTGTAACATTCAGCCATCTTGTATTTCACTTCAATTTCAGATGGCAGACACTAAAACAGAATTGATCACTAAAATGTAATCTCTCTCAAATGTTGTCTAACTATATAAAACAGAGTCTAAATTACTAAAATCTTATGAAAGACTTGTATTTTCATTAACAAAGTCAAGATATAAAATGTAAAGATGACAGTAGATTGTACTTTTATAATGCAAACTATCTTCTCTCTTGCTAATGAAAACTACAAATTAAATGAGCATTCTCTCTGACATTTGAGACCAACTTAAGCTTTTCATTAGAAAGTAGTGGTGAGACACATTTTCAAAATTAAATAGCCACAAAATTCAGGCTTCTTTGCTTTGGTAATTTTATAGTCTACCGCTACAACATTTAATTCACCAATATTTCATTTTACAGGAAGAATAAGAGTTATATGCAGTATGTTACTCTATTTCCAAATACCTGACTTTGTGGAGTGGCTGCAGCATTCCCAGTAGAGGGTCTTACTTTTGAAGTTTTACTTAATGCTTTCTTCTGCTGCAAGGCCATTGTATACTTACTTACAGCATTCCTATATTCCTTGTCATGGAAGAGGGAATCTGCATGATATACAAGAAGCTGGTACTTTTGTGATGGCGAGAATAACTCACTAGAAGAAATTAAAAAAGATATCAGCTTAAACTAACTGATTACATAATAGGAGGAAAATTGCTAAATCCTAATTTTTCAGTATTAGTAATTAAATCCCCTGGCTGTGCCTGAAATCTGGAAGAACTAAGAGTGCAATATTTGTACCCTTAAATAAATAAACCCAACTACAAGCAAGTTCCATCTTAAACACAATTGCCCCAATTAGAACACCTTCTATTTGTTAATCATCTGTTAAGACCTTACAGTGGTAACTGTTGTTAACCATCCTCTGCAACAGGCAGATTTGAGAGCCAAGAACTCAGTTTTAGGACTGTATTTTAATTTTTGTTAGTAACAATCATGGTTCATGAAGTACACTGAACACAGACAATGCACCGCAGCTTAAGTGCTGAAAGACGCTATGTCCACTATCATCACTGTCAACAGGAGGAGAATGATGTGGGTGGCATATCCTCTGATGATCCATCAGAAAGTGATGGGTAAGTCACCTTGTCTCTCGATTGCCCCGCCTGGGAAGCTGAAACTCTTAGCAGTTATAGGGCTTTTCATACACACATCTCAAAGTGCCTCATCCGGGGGCATATTGCTCGTCCCGTTTTACACAGAGGGGAACTGACAACTGGGACCTGTTAATGATCCCACAGCAAGTGTCTGGCAGAGCCAGGTACAGACCTCAAGCAACTGCAGCCCCGATCTGTTACCCCAGGCAGGACCTTCTCCCACTGGGGCTCCCGCAGGGCCCCGCGAAGCTCTTAGCTCCTTATTTCACACACACCCCCATTCCCCACCAAGGGACGCGTAGGCCCCCTCCCCCATCACCCCGCAGCCTCCCCCACACCATAGCCACGTCCCTCCCCCACACCAGGAGCGCCCTTGCCTCAGCCCCCGGTCTCTTGCCGCCCCCACAGAGCCCCCTGCCGGCGGCACTCACGGGTTGTTGCCGCTCATGGTGAGCAGGAGCCCGCTGAGGAGCCGCACATTGGAGTGGAGCCCGGCAGCCGCCATCTCCCGCACATGCTCCACCACGCTCATCCTGGAGGCCGGAGTGGAACGAGGGGCGCCGGCCGGGGATGGGGTCGGAAGAGACAGCGCTTCCTCAGCCCGCTGCGACTCCAAAATGGCGCCACCTAGGGGTCCTCGCAGGCAGGAGTCCATAATACCTCTCTAGGCGGCCCTCACTCACGCCTCAGTTTAAAAACCTCTCCGTGGGGACCCCATGGAAATCCGCCCAGGTGCCAGCCTCGCCTCTCCTCCACCATTAAAATCGCTGCCGCTGAAGGGGTAGGCTACAAAGCGATGACATTTTCTAGCAGGCACAATAAAGGTCGCCCCCGCCGCTGAAACACTCTACGCATGCGCAGCGGCTGTCTCTGCCCTCCGGGCCTTGTGTCGCACTAGACGCCCCGAGTCACGTGTTCGTGGGCAGTGGCTGTCGGGCTCAGCAGCTTTTGAAGGAACGGAGCTGGGCCCTGGTACAACATGTCCTGGTGCCCTGGGCAGGGCCCGGGCAGGGGCCTCGCTGTTGTTATAGAAAGGCAGGGGGTGTTGTAGCAAATGAACCAAAAAGTAACATCACAGTGAATATGGTGCCAGGGTTCACACACGGGTCAGCTTTTAATTTGTCATGAAATACTATTACTATCCCTAAAAAAACAACACGGAGTTTGGCGGCACCTTAAAGACTAACAGATTTATTTGGGCATAAGCTTTCGTGGGATGCATCCGAAGAAGTGAGGTTTTTACCCACGAAAGCTTATGCCCAAATAAATCTGTTAGTCTTTAAGGTGCCACCAGACTCCTTGTTGTTTTTGTAGATACAGACTAACACGGCTACCCCCTGATACTTATTACTATCCCTGTCCTGATTCACGGATTTTTGTTGGTTTTTCTCACCTTTTGCTCAGGTGTTCATTACTGTGGTCTCTCGTGCTTTTTGTACTCTTAATAAAGAAAAACACTACAATATTATCAACCTTACGATGTTCCTTCTGTAGCCACAACTCCCACTGAAGTCGATGGGGACATGAGCCGGATCTGTAAGGAATGCAGGATTAATATGCCACACTTGGATCTGAGATGAAGAAGTTGTTAAAGTAACATGTTAATTTTACTCAATGTATGGGGGAAATAAATTCAATGTTACCACGTAAGAAAATAATTCAGTAGGAGAACAAATTAGGTGCAGGCATCTCAGATTGTACTACACAAAATATAAAGGGTTTATTTCTTTTAAAATGAAGCATGCTTTTCATAATACTCTAAATAACAGTATTTTCAAGACTTCGTATTTCTTCCCTTTATACAGTGTGGGCTTGATCCTGCAATCCTTAGATGAACAGTCTCATCAATCAGGACGAAATTTAGGATTAATGCTGAGAGGCTCCTGAGTCCCTATTAAGGCATTGCTCCTCAAGCTACAGGTTTAAAAACTTTGTTGTTTGTTTTTTGGTTATTTTTAAATAAATATTCAGGAGAACATCTCTTCTCCTCCCCTTGGAACTAAATTGTTGGTCCTGACCTACCTTATAGGCAGAGCAGCTAAGCTTTGCACAGCTTCAGGTTTGACATTTGATACATAGGCGAAGTTTGACTTACATATTTGGGGGTGGGGCAGCTCCAGTCAGGCCAATGTGGTCATGCATGGAGGGGCAGCTTCCACGCCTGCCCAAGGCTTGCAGTTTGGGGGGCAATGCTCTCCCCCTCCCCCCAGACTGCACCCATGATTTCACACTAGTACAGCGGTTCTCAAACTTCACTGCATCATGACCCACTTCTGACAACAAAAATTATTACATGACCCCAGGAGGGGAGACCGAAGAGTGACCCTGCCACCCCGGGGGGGGGAGGAGGCGCAAAGCTGAAGCCCAAGGGCTTCTGCCCCAGGGGGGCAGGGGAAGGAGGAAAGGCATGTAAACTTAGCCCTGGTGGTGGGGCTCGTTCTTCAGCCCTGGGGCCCAGGGCCAACACCAGCCTTGGCAACCTCATTAAAAGGGGGTTGTAACCCACTTTGAGGTCCTGACCCGCAGTTTGAGAACCGCTGCACCTAGTGTGAACAAGTCTGTATTCCCTCCCCCATGTTCCACACATACACAGTCAAACCAGGAACTTATGCGCCACCACTCTAGCCCTCAGAAGCAGTGGGAGGGCAGAGGAGAGCCAAGGAGACTGAAGTGAACCTAGGGTGGTCTGAGGGGGTAGGAGTGTCAGGAGATTGTGAAGCAGACTCCTCTACTGTGCTCCTGTTTCTCATTAGCTCTCCCTGTCCCCTTCTGAATTCCAACCTATGCCCGTGCCCCAACCATTCAGCTCCTTGTGTTGTACCCTCACCCTTCACCCTCCCATAACCTGTCCCCCATTCTCTGCCCCTCCCTGTTCTTTCTAGCAGGATACCAACTGTAGTCAGCCAGCCGACTCCTCCCCACCACCTAGATACCCCATGCTAAGCTTGGAGACCTGCAATTCTTTTGCCACAGCAGCACCCTGGTGGCAAAGATTAGATCCTTTGAGGGCGGAGGGGATTTCCTGCAGCCCTGCCTGATGTGGGACATTCCAGCAGAGATGGAGGAAGAGGCATGTGTATATTGAAGAGGGGAGGGGAAGTGAGAGACACACAACACGTGGCTGCCATGTAAAATGTCCCTTTTACATCTAATAGAATTTCACACCTATATCTCCAGTTACCGTAATGCAAGTTTCTAGTCACTGTGACAGCTTGCAGTCCATATTAGAATTACGCCTTGTTCCACAGGGTGACATTATAGACACAGTAATCATTCTAACAACATATTACAGTTTTTACTGAGGCAAAAATCTCATTCAAAGGAGTATAGCCTGAACAAAACTTCAGGATCAGGTCCCATATATCTTTCATTTTGTTTCCAATCAAGAAGAGAGACTTCTGAATGCAAGGCTGGCATTCTAGAGTGAGAGGTAGCATGGACTGGTGCCTAAGGTACTGGACTAAAATGCAGGGTGACATTCTGGCCTCATTCACTGGAGTCAGGATTTTATCCTGGGATTCTACTTCCTGCTCCACTACGGACTTCCTACGTGACCTTGGGCAAGTCACTTCACCTGCCTGTGCTTCTTTCCCCTCTTATGCCATAGGTGTCTCGTCTATTTACATTGTAAGCTCTTCAGGCCAGAGAACATTTCTGACTATGAGTCTGTACAGTGCCTAGCATAATGGAGCCCCCGTCTCCATTGGGGTCTCTAGGCACTACTGCAATACAAATAAAGCGTTGATTTTTGTTAAAGCTATCTGCATTCATAAGAGATAAAGCAGTTACCACTTGAAATATAAGCTAAGTTTATTGATACAGGAGTAAAATTCACTGTGCTTTACAATACAGCATGAGTGGCCTTTTGTCCAGGGACATAGATATCAGTACTCTATCCAGCAGAGTGGTTAGATGCTCCTTTACACATCTCTCTTTAGGCTTAAGTCAAATCCTATCTTATACGTACCCACCAATAAATAACAAAGCAGCATTGATCTGAAACAGCATGTTAGAAATCATTTTTTATTAAGCACCAGCTTAACATAATTTGCGTACAGTACTCAAATGGCTTTCTGTTCCATCTTCCCCCGCAGACTGACAGCTTTTCCTCATAAGCACTTATTCTTCCTTGGTATAAAATGTATATGAAACAAAGGCAAAATATTTTATACATCTTGCTGCAAAATGCTTAACATTGTGACTATCTCATTGCCTCTTCATTGCCCAGGTCCTGACAGACTCTTATTCATGAACTGCCTCTTCACGAAGCAGGTCCACCACTAAGGGAAAGAAATACAGTGGGATCAGAAGATATACTGTAACAATTTCCAGGTAAGAAGTTTGAGGCAAAACAAAATAGAATTTAAAACCAACTCAGATGTAATGGACCTGATCCTGCATTAGTTGCACATCCAATTTTCTCTACTGGCTTCGACTGGAGTTTTAGGCATGCAAGGAAGGCAGGATTAGACCCAAAGTGTGGATTAAGTCAACACATGGTAGTATAGGGTTGCAGTACCAGACTCATAGTTAAGGCTGAGGTGATCATTTCGATCTAAGCCTTTACTTTCCATTGCTTATAAAAAAAAGCAGATTAAGAGTCTCATTCTTAATCTCAGTCCAACTTTTTTTACAAAAAATTTAAGAAGTCATTTCAGTCACTTCTGAATTAAGTGAACATAAAAAAAAAACCCCACACAAGATTTACTTTAAAAATGTATTCTCTTGCACTTGACTCAAAAGCAGATGAAGTCAAGACTGTGGATATGGCATGTGGCTGAGTCCTCAGTGACTTGTAGGCAATAATTCTGAAAAATAAATTGGCTTGATAATTGTAAAGTTACTCTTGCTTATGTGCAAATGTCTGACTAGCCAGTCAGGAACTGATGGATCAATTAGCTATTTTTGCTACTCATATCTGTAGCGAAGGGCTTTCCCACATAGGAGTGATCACATCAGACCCAACTTGAATGATGCTGAGTATCCTGAATGCCTGCTGAATTCAATGCAAGGAATTGAGGGTTCTCAGCTCCCAGGAGGTGCTCACCACTTCACAGATTGGACCAACAAGTGTTACAGCCCTGCTCTTTAACAGGATGCCTCTACCTGTGCAGCCTAAATTGGCATTTGCTGCCATATCACATTACAAATGTTTGTCTTAATTGCTTTTGACTATTCCACTAGCCCCTTAAGTCTCAGGATTCTTGCTTGACAGGTTCTCCCCCATCTCTCCCTGCTGTTTTTTCTTTTTCCCCCTTGTTGCTCTACTGCATTCCCTGCCACAGACAAGCATTCCATAACTATCCTTTCAACTCCTTGGTCTACACCTGACACACCTTTTAAATAGCAACCCAAGCCAAGTTTGACATGATTTTTTACATTATTTCTGGAGTTAACATTTTGAAGAAGGAGCGTGCCTCAAGCGTCCACCAGTCATAAAAGAAAGACAGCCTGTAATTGGGATAAATAACCACCCAGTCATTCAGAACGGCATCTTACCTTGCTAGGCTTGTCACTTTGGGGATCGAACACCTTTTCACAAAGCCTAAGACCTGTTTCTTGTCTCAGCTGTTGCAAGTAGGCCCTCATCACCTCTAAAACAGAGCATATACCAATACAGATTGAAATACACAGGGTTAGAACCAGGTCAGATTCTATCCAGCCAACTGC